ATATTTATTAAATTAAAAAAGTTATTATTAGTCAAAATTATGTTTTAAGGCCACTTCAGTCTGTAGTACTGATGTCCAAAATGTGTCAGGTGATATAACTTGATACTAATCAGAGGTGTAGGTAAGACTTCAGTGTACAGTGTATAAGGATGTAAGAGTGTACATTTTATATGAATTTGATATGAATGAACCCTCAAATATTCTGGTGTACAGATGATCAAACATCAGAATGGTTGTTAACCATTTACTAGATTACAATTATATATGCTTTATCAGTTATCTATGAATTCTGTTGTAAAGAATTAAATTAAAGCCTGACAACATGAAATATGTAAGTTATGGTGTGTGGTATTCCTTACAGTTTTTGGACTCTGTAGTATTGCTTAAAAATGCACATGCAGCACTCTGGATCTAGTGTAAATTAGTTTTGCTGTCTTGTAAGCCCATGTGGGCTGTGTGAAGGCTGTATGCACGACGCAGTAATTAAAATTTCATCATATATATATCATATATACAGGTATTTGGCAGGTGTCTAGTCTGAGATTAAAAGTCATTCCATGTACATTTGGGTCACGAGTCACGAGAACAAGACGAGAAGATATTTTAACAGTATTCTGAATAAATATTCAATGCTGAAATATATCAGTGGTCGGGTCTGGGGGTCTTCCCCAGAAGCATTAAACACTTAATTTCCTGCATTCTGGAGACATTTTCTGCACCAATTTATGGAGGAAATGTCTTTATTTATATGAAGGGAAACAAACTTACGGTGGCAGATGACAATTCAAAATATACTAATGGAATACAACACAGTAATCAGCTTTTGGACAATGCATTTGTTTCTTCTATATTTCAGTTGCATTGCATGTTTTCTTATTGTGCATTGTTTCATTTGTTATTTAACATTTCTTGTAGCAAGCTGTTTTTTAACAAAAGTTTTCAAAAAAGTGATGGAGACATTCTGATTCTGACATGTCCACAGCGTCCCCATTGTAGCCTAAACTTATGCGTCAAATCAACTGCGTAGCCCCGTATCCTACGCCGTCGCCTACGACACCTATCTGTCAATATTTTGTCCCGCCCCATCCAAACTGTGGTTTGTTCACGGAAAGTGACATTGACGAGTAAAACGTTGAGGTGATCTTACTGCATACCGGCGTGTTCCAGCCCACTTCAAGCACTGCGAACAACAATATATTATTAGCCTATATTTTGTGTATAGTCTTTGGTTAAAACAAACAGCACTGTTGAAGCTGTCCCAATGCAGCAAATTTACAGCCTGGCATAGAGATAAAAAAAAAAAATTGATTATTTTGTTTAGTAGAAAACAACAAGTAGTTCCAACCTTTGACCCAGGAGGAGGGGGCAGCCCCAGGAAGGCATACACAGAGTTGTCCTCCTTGGCGTCAAAGAACGTCTCATAGTCCTGCATGAAAATAAATGAAAGTATTCTTTAATAAGTCTTGAGAATGATGAGTCTCTGCTATAAAAATGTTTGTGCACTTTTTTTTATTTTATTTAACTTTTATTTAACTAGGCAAATGAGTTAGGAACAAATTCTTATTTACAACCATGGCCTGGCATACACTTACTTACCCCACAGTAGCTCTCTTCATTGAAGATCTGAGGGGGCAGCGGGATGCCGTTGGTGGGCTTCTTCTCCTCAGGGACATTTTGCCTCATCCACATGCGGTTCTCCTCATTGCAGGCGATGTCCAGCGGAGTGTAGTCCACTTTAAGAGCCTCCAGGAAGCCGACCACATCCTGCTGCTTCTTCTTGATCTGGGAAGCAGAAAAAAACATAAGTTTTATGAAAATCAGCTCTGATTGCACACTATGTGGGCTGTAATATTTAACTTTAACTTCAAAGATTGCAGCATCTTGGTGTTTCTTTCAGGATAATAAGTGTGCACCATTTCAATTTTATCCTTTCCTGTTCTCCCGTCGTACCATACAGACCTTAAATTATTAGACAGAAAATCTTTCAAGTTATTCATCATGCACAAATGCCAAACATTTGTTCGAGCTTCTCAAATGTGAGCATGTGCGGCTTTTCTCTGTTTTATGTCACTGCAGACTGATTTTTTTGTTGTTTTTGGATTGTTAGTTTGACAGAAAATGTTATTTTGATTGTGGGCTCTGGGAAATTGTGATTATCTATTTTTCTATATTTTCTGACAAATTGTAGTCAAAACAATGAATTTACTGAAAATAAAAATAATCAGGTTAATTGATGATGTGTTCGTTTTAACCCTAATATAATCACCCAAAGACAAGTCAGAAAAACGTAATGAAACTGGATTATGTAAGATTCTAAAAAGACTATAGTGCATTCAGCAGTGATGAACATAACTAAGTACATACATTTCAATTACATCAGCTTTATTGCCAAGTAGTTTTCACACCTACAAGGAATTTGCTTTGGTGACTAGTTGCGTAACGATAAATATAAATAAATATATAATAATATATAAATGTAAAAAATTATAATTGACAAAACATACAAGTTATAAAATAATAATAAATAATCAAGCTTTGTACTTAAGTACAGTTCTGAGGTACTTTCAACTCCACTTCATTTCAGAGGGAAATATTGTACTTTTTACTCCAGTACATTTATATGACAGCTTTAGTTATTTAGAATTATTATAGATTAAGCTACCCTGCAGTATATAAAGTAGTTAAAATTAGCACCTTTATCAGCTGCAACACTAAAGTTATGTACACATGAATGCATTGATAATTATAATCCAAATATGCATGAGTACTTTTATTTCTTTTAGTACATGTTACTCCTAGTATCTTCTACTTTCAGTCAAGTAAAAATTTTAATGCAGGACTTTTACTTGTAACAGATTTCTGCAGGTTGTATACTTTTACTTAAGTAAACAGTCTGAGTACTTCTTCCACCTCAGGCGATTGAGTCATGAATTGTCATCTATTTGAGACCTTGCACCTACACCAGGATACACTGGACCTGACAGGAGAAAAAGTCTTTCTGCTGTGAGACAGCACTGCTAACTAACTGGGCCACCATGCCACCCCTGGACTGGTTCAAACTGCTTATTTAGCTTTGCCAAAAGTAGATCTAGAGGATTAATCCACACCTTCCCTGCTGTGGTCATCACCCCAGCAAGTGTATAACAGTTACTTTAAGATATATCTGATCACAAATAGTAGCACCGGTTATGTGGTCTAAAGCGTCTGTATGAGGGACCCTGGCATGAAAAGCTTTGGGAGCCCCTGTTCTAGAAAGCTCTGCATGTGAATCACACCGACTAGCGAGACAATTAAACAGAGTACTGAAGGACTAACCTACTCAAGCACAAATTGAGGCATAAATAAAGTCATTAACACGCAAGTGGGGTTTAGGTATGCAGAATGAAAGGCAAGTGACATTAATTTCAAGGTTTAACGCTCTTGAGTGAGTGTGAGTAAAAGTCATGATCGGTTTACGGAGTACAGCCAGGAAAGTTCTAATGAGCCAGGAAAAATCTAATGAGAAACCTGTCGCACGGGCTGAAAGCTTACCGCAGTGGATCCTGATGAAGAAGCGAGAAATACTTTGATAACCATTTTGTTGCAATATATTTCGTAGACTCGTCTATATGCAACAAGTAGGTTCTTAAAGGAGCAGGCTGCCTCTTCTATTATTAGACGGAGGACTGAGACGTAGCACTGAGATCACACACACACACACACACATACTGACCGGGGCTATTTTTGTCTCCAGGCTCTATTAGTGCGGGATTGGCGGGGTGGCCCCTAGGGGCGCAGCATCACACAGACTGATTGGCAACTTCAGCTGTCCGTCGGCGCAGGGGACAGTGAAGCTAGTTTCCAGCTCTTTGCTGAGTGCATATATGGACAGAAATAGCACTGGCCAGCACTATAGGCTGCAAGACTTTGGTTTCCAAACGCAGGGACTCGGGCCTGTTTATGGTTCCCCAACAAAATTGGAAATTGTTTAGCCTACTTAATTGAGTAAAGGATGTTGAGATACTGGGACAATGAAGCCAAGGCCTACATGTTTAGATGTGGCCATGCATGTTGCACTCTCTATGCGGCGTTCCCTATAAAGCAAAAACAAACGTCTTTCTTTTTTTAATTTTTAGATCAGTCAAAGCTGCCAAAAATTCACTTGTATCTTTTTTTTAAATGGTGAAAATGTGTAGGCCTATCACCATTATCCTACAGCTTTATTCAAAATACATTATGGACACTGAAAATAATATCTGAATCGATGCTGTCCAAATATTTAGTGTCTATATTTTTTATTGTTTGAATATCCTATATCATTTTATATTGTAACTTTACCGTTTAGCCTTTACTTTGGACCAATTGTTCCGCTGGTTATCATGACAACTGTGAACGTATCTCTTAAAAAATGCCCATAGCAACCCTTGGTAAAATATTTTAGCTTTAGCCTAATTATTATTTAGCATAATTAAATATTTACAACCTGTATGGTCAGTAGTGTGAAACGGGAGGGAAAAGATATAGGCTTGCTCAAAACAAGATCACTTGCAAGAAAAGGTATGATGCTCAGTTTCAGACTATATCAATATATAATGGGAGAAAAAATATTTTTATTATTTTTTATGCTACTCAATCAAATATTAGCCTATAGGAACCAAAGAGAAAACTATTCGTTAAAATATCTAAACAGGGATTCTACATACATTTCAGATGGTCTTTTATTGACCTCAGAAAAGCAACTTAATGCTACTATTTTCTACCTTTAGTCAAGTAAAAATGTGAATGCAGGACTTTTGCTTGTAACAGATTTCTGCATGAGTAGGCTATTTCATGAGTACATATGCCTACATGCCTTTTCAGATTAGTATTTTATTGACCTCAGAAAAACAACTTACTTGGGTTGGTTTATTAACCTCTTAAGCAATGTATACCTATTATTCTAACATTTTGACTTGTGAGGTATCTATCTTGCATCTTTTCCCTAAATTGTTGTTCTTTTGAGTGCGTGGCAGCAGACCATGATGCAGCAGGCCTTTGCTCACGAGGAGGAGGGTGACGGTGAGCAAAGGCTTGATAATGATACTGTGAGCTGCAGCACGGAGACCTCCAGGTGGTCTGCTAACTTCAGAGTGCGCTGTGGCTCTAATAGTTCACATAGTTCATCTGACTTTGAGGACCAAGCTGATTCGCTTCTAGACAAGATCCAAGAAGCCAAGTCATCAGACAAGTGGTAAGGATCAAAGCCACCTGGAAGGAAAAAAAGGCATTTTATTTATATGATTTAATATCTGTGTAGCAGGACTTGTGTTTGGATGCCATTCAAATGATTAATTATAATAAATCCTTCAGGTAAAAAACCACAAGGGGCCCACAGGCAGAAGACAAACTACACTGCAAATCACCAAGTCCTGAAGTTGCCTCCGATCAAGACCCTGCAGGTTTCAAAGCCGACGAGCCAGTCTGCCAACTTGAACTGCATCCTGGAGCTCAAGAGCCAAGTGTGTGCCTGCAGCAGCAGCTGAACGAGGCCAGGACTGAGAACAAACTGCTGAAGAGGATCCAGCATCGCCACACGGTGGCACTGCAGCACTTTCAAGACTCAGAGGGCAGCCTCTCACAGGTTGGTTGGTTTTTCCCTCTGGTGTCTCACTGCTCAGTCAGATTTGAATTATTGCCACAACAACATGGCTTTGGGGTACTCGTCCTTAAAAGTCAGAATGCTTTTAGGCTATGTATGAACCATTTAACCATTTATTATTCAAATGTCAAAAGCTGTTCACTGATTCCTCATCTTGACGGCACCTTAACCCCAGATCCTCACCAAGCACAACAATGAGGCCCCGAGTCCTGCAGGGGTTGCTCCGTGAGACCCAGGCCTGTCTGGCACGGCAGCTACAAGCCACAGAAAGCAAATTGCAAAGATCAAAGGACAGTCTCCAGCACCTACAGCTCCTCAGCCAGGATCAGGGCCTGCTGGAGAGGGAGGAACTGAACCTCAGGCTGACCAACGCCACTGAACAGTTGGATCAGAAGGACAAGAGGATATTGGTATGGAGGAGCAGGAGGGTGGGAGACACTTAAGACTCTAGTGTCACATCCTCCAGAACTCCTAGCAGCACCCATGGTCACAGCCTGAACATGTAGATCATATTATAACACCAATATACAGGACCTATATAAAGGAACAGAGTTATTGTCTGATTTTACACCTTTGTTTGCCTTCTCTTATATTTTAAGACTTGGAGAGGAATCTTGAGTTGTGCCAGGCCTCATTTAATCGGCAAATAGCTACTGAACAAAGAAAGATCAACGAGGTGAGCAAGATATCTTGCTATCTGCGAGAGCAAATATACCAGCTAAGCAGGGACCTTCAAGTAAGTTGCAAGAGAGCTTTTTCCCCAGGCAATGTTCTTTACAGCATTAGACGTACAGTCATTGTTAACATAGAGTTATTGTTTATTGTGCATACTTCTGTCATAATCAGAACGTTACGCATTTCCCAATTGAATTCAGACTACGCATTTGTGGGAGAATTTGGTTAAGATGTCTGGATCAATATTTTCCACATAAGATTACCCATTAGTCAGCCATTGATACTGAGGGCTTAATGCTTGTGTTTTGATGGTGCACTTCCTGCTTGGCGGTCCCCAATGTGCTGGGAAAAAAAACAAAAAAAACCAAACATAAATTGGGGCATTTTGCAGGCATACAGTGAGGAAAATAAGTATTTGAACACCCTGCTATTTTGCAAGTTCTCCCACTTAGAAATCACGGAGGGGTCTGAAATTGTCATCGTAGGTGCATGTCCACTGTGAGAGACATAATCTAAAAAACAAAAATCCAGAAATCACAATGTATGATTTTATGACTATTTGTATGATACAGCTGCAAAGAAGTATTTGAACACCTGAGAAAATCAATGTTAATATTTGGTACAGTAGCCTTTGTTTGCAATTACAGAGGTCAAACGTTTCCTGTAGTTTTTCCACCAGGTTTGCACACACTGCAGGAGGGATTTTGGCCCACTCCTCCACACAGATCTTCTCTAGATCAGTCAGGTTTCTGGGCTGTCGCTGAGAAACACGGAGTTTGAGCTCCCTCCAAAGATTCTCTATTGGGTTTAGGTCTGGAGACTGGCTAGGCCACGCCAGAACCTTGATATGCTTCTTACAGAGCCACTCGTTGGTTATCCTGGCTGTGTGCTTCGGGTCATTGTCATGTTGGAAGACCCGGCCTCGACCCATCTTCAATGCTCTAACTGAGGGAAGGAGGTTGTTCCCCAAAATCTGGCAATACATGGCCCCGGTCATCCTCTCCTTAATACAGTGCAGTCGCCCTGTCCCATGTGCAGAAAAACACCCCCAAAGCCTGATGCTACCACCCCCATGCTTCACAGTAGGGATGGTGTTCTTGGGATGGTACTCATCATTCTTCTTCCTCCAAACACGGTTAGTGGAATTATGACCAAAAAGTTCTATTTTGGTCTAATCTGACCACATGACTTTCTCCCATGACTCCTCTGGATCATCCAAATGGTCATTGGCAAACTGAAGACGGGCCTTGACATGTGCTGGTTTAAGCAGGGGAACCTTCCGTGCCATGCGTGATTTCAAACCATGACGTCTTAGTGTATTACCAACAGTAACCTTGGAAACGGTGGTCCCGGCTCTTTTCAGGTCATTGACCAGCTCCACCCGTGTAGTTCTGGGCTGATTTCTCACCTTTCTTAGGATCATTGAGACCCCACGAGGTGAGATCTTGCATGGAGCCCCAGTCCGAGGGAGATTGACAGTCATATTTAGCTTCTTCCATTTTCTAATGATTGCTCCAACAGTGGACCTTTTTTCACCAAGCTGCTTGGCAATTTCCCCGTAGCCCTTTCCAGCCTTGTGGAGGTGTACAATTTTGTCTCTAGTGTCTTTGGACAGCTCTTTGGTCTTGGCCATGTTAGTAGTTGGATTCTTACTGATTGTATGGGGTGGACAGGTGTCTTTATGCAGCTAACGACCTCAAACAGGTGCATCTAATTTAGGATAATAAATGGAGTGGAGGTGGACATTTTGAAGGCAGACTAACAGGTCTTTGAGAGTCAGAATTCTAGCTGATAGACAGGTGTTCAAATACTTATTTGCAGCTGTATCATACAAATAAATAGTTAAAAAATCATACATTGTGATTTCTGGATTTTCTTTTTTTAGATTATGTCTCTCACAGTGGACATGCACCTACGATGACAATATTAGACCCCTCCATGATTTCTAAGTGGGAGAACTTGCAAAATAGCAGGGTGTTCAAATACTTATTTTCCTCACTGTAGATATATCTTGATATATTCCAAACTAACTGGTCACATGGTTGCATTAGTTGCTCGTGCAAGGGAGATAGCTGATATTAGAGAGAGAGAGAGACACTGGAAACACGCAATATATACTCCAACAGATTCCAAAAAGGATTCACCAACAAAAGTTATACAAACATAACAAGCTACTGGCACTCACTTTGGCAAACTAATTTGTAAGACTTCTGTAAGACTGATTTACAGGCAGAGAAAGCAAGAAGTTTCAAACAGATGGGTTGGCCCTTCTCCCTACCAAGGCTGCAAGTCTTCGGGAGTTACAATATACTGAGACTGAAGAGACTGGAAGAGAAGGTGAGCTCTCTGAACTGGGTATATTTTCAGGTTGTTTTCACCCCTTTGCCATCATTTACTAGTTTAATTGTTGATTCATGCTGAAAGTACTCTAGGACGGTAGGACATTTTCTTACCTCTGCAGACTTTTCCGATCTATATGTTTTTGGTCATTTATGTTATACCCCAAAATCATTTAAGATGAGAGGCACTAATAGAGCCTGTGTATCATGTCACTGTCCTTAAAACACATTGCAGGAGTCTTTGGTAACAGAAAATCCAGAGACGGAGGTTTCTGCAAATGTCATATTTGAGGAGAAGCACCAAGAGGATACTGAGGCATGTGCAGGTGAGCACTTAACTTCAAATATACAGCATAATAGTAAAATAACAGAACTGGCAATGCACACATGCAAAGTTGCTGAAAGAAAAAAAGCGTAGGAGGTACTAATCCACAAAGAGGATATGCAAACAAAGAAACAGCAAACTTGCATGTGTTTTGTCCTAGGGTCATTCAGAACCTTTCTAAAATGAACGAAAATATTTGTTTTCAGACACCAGTGAACACAATAGTCAGAAGAGAGCCCAAAACATCTAACTGAGGGAGATTGTGCAGAAGAAAAGGAGGTATCCGAGGCCCCAGGGGTGTTAGAGGAAGAGCAGAAAACAGAGGAACAAGGTGTCCTACATTTCAGGAAAAGTCTCCAAATGCACCTGAACCTAAGAGGAAAGCATACAGCCTTTCCAAAATCAGGCGCAACTACATTTACAAACAATCTATTACAGCAGGGCAGATTTGAATCCCAGTGAAAGCACCAAGAACCCTGTGAGGGCGGAGACCCTCATGGTGCGGGTAATGAACTTTGTCTACGAGATGGGAAATCCAGCAAAGGTGGAGTGGCCAGCCCTCAGTGTGAGTAAAGAGCAGTTCAAAACAGAAAGAGAAAGCTGATGAAGAGACCTTTGGTACAAGTAAATTTACTGAATTGCTGAGGGTAAAGTTTCAGATCCATCTGTACTTTCCAGCTGCCAGACCGAGAGGAAAAGTGGACAAGGGAGTTTTGACTGTAGTGGCAGCAGACTGATGTTCCCATACTAAAGTATTTCTCTAAATATATATATTTTTTACTTTAGAGCTGCATGGGATCATTGTGATCCATCTACAGTTCTTCATCCATTACAATTCTACTTAAAGAAAAATACTTGACTTCTTTTTGCTAGTGAATTCCCAATTTATGACATTACAACAAATAAAAGCTTTTCTTTTATTATCTTTCCTTTAAAAAGGCATTTCAACATTTCCGCATCATGTTTTGAAATAATATTCAGTCAGACCATCCTCACAATTAACTTAATATAATTAATACAAAATCATCAAAACAAAAAATACCAATATTCAACATTAACAAAACACTATGTTGAAATATGAAACAGTCAACGCTAAAATGCACTGCATTTATACAGGTTGACCTGAAGCAGCTGACACAAAAAATGACAAAAAAAACAAACAAACTGGGGCTTCCATCATCAAAATGTTGATCAATAAGTTAGAAAAGAAGTGCATTTAACTCAGCTGGAGTCTAGCTGACGGCATGGAGACCCAGTGTAACTACTTTGTTGCAAACCACCAACCAGCATGTGATTCCCACTCCACCTGAAGGAAAAGAACAGCTCGATCAATTAATGGATCAACAGCTTGGGCTTAATGACAGTTTTAAGAGAGGGAAAGAATAGCATAGTGTTTTTATATGGAATGGAATATATATATATATATCCGCATTTTGTCTGAATCAGTACAAAAATATTCCATCTAAACAAAAGGAGTGGTGTTTTACAAAAAAATGTCCAACATGTAGTATATTATTATGGATGAGTCCTAAATTATAGTCTCAGTTATCAAATATGAAAAACAGATTAATTACCTGCCACTCCTGTTGGGAAGGCCACAAGGCGCTCCACGGGGGCTATCCATTTACTGGGGACCACTGTCACTGGATCAGAGTAATACTTCCATATCAAGGAGATCATCACAGCAGCCTGACAAATAAAAGAAATATGTTGGTATATAATAGGCATTTTACTAGCATTCAGTGAAGTACTTAAATAGCATTAACTGGAGGCTTCGATTTTTGGTACTGAAGCCGCTCTCTGGGTGGGTCTCATAATTACATTAGAATATACAATTAAATGCTTCTACTTATAATTTCCACCTACCTGCAGAATATAAAAGACAATGTTCACAACCCATTTCATTTTGGCCTGTTGTGCTGTCCTTGATTTCACTGCAAAAGTGAAGAAATACATAACGGTTAGTTAATATTCAGGTTCTTTAATACTACGCCAGTGCCTTTTATCTTATGAGGTTGAATTCCTTCATTACTCAAGGTCACTGAAAAGAAAAATCAGCAATTCAGAGGTCTGAAGCACCTATTTTTGTACAGCCTCAATTAATGTTTTCAGTCAGTCATAGGGTAACAGTGCATTCTCTGTGAGGTATTCTGTGTATAAAAAAATATAAGAAATATCAATACGCTACATAAAGTAAAGTTTGTGTTTTGGATCATTTCCTAAAGATACTTTTCATTCAGAGTGGAGAGTTCCCCTTAATGAACACAACTGTAGAGACTATAAGTCAGCTGTTTGGGAGTCAGAAATAAGTGATTGTTTGGTATTCATTAAAGTCATTTAGAGTACACCATGAGCTGTATAGCATGGTCATTGGAGGTTTAAAACTGACTGTGTACAAATAATATATCACCGCGGAAACAATCTGAAACATCCTTTGCTCGCTCTGCTGTGCATGTGTATCGTACTGCAATTCTGTTTAGACACTTCCTGTTTGTGCACAAGATAATCCTGAGGCTGAGAATGAAGAACAGCAACAGGCAGCAGCTGTTCCCACTGAACACTCATGTTATCCAAGACCTCCTGCCACTTCCTGTGGTTGGGGGTTTTAATGTGTGAATCTGCTGTAGTAGACATGCGCAGGTGTGGAAAGTACATTATGTGCTTTTTGCAGTAAAAGTGACTGAGAAGCATTTGTTTACACTACACCTAGGGTGGACTAAACAACAGGAACAGCAAAATAAAACAACAGCCCTGCAATAAACGCTCTCTTTTGAACGCTTGTTTTAAATGATTGTTGAAACTGTCAAAGAAAGGCTGATTGGTATTTAGAGGACATAATTTGTAGTGCTGCTGTAGTGTTGCTTCCCTGCTGTTGTTAGTTTAATGTGAATTGAAGCTTCTTAAAGGCACTCTGGTGCTATTTAGTATGAAATGTATGGGGTTGATTGTTCTTATGTTGTATGTATGATGCTTTGGCAATGTTGTTGTTACACATTCATGCCAATAAAGCTAATTTGAATTGAATTATAGTATTGGACTTTGTTTTGGGGGTCCCATCAAATTGTCCTTCCTAGGTCACTCACAGTAATTACATCTGTCTCTCACCGTGTGTTTTCAGCTTGTCTGTCATCTTGTTGATTTTGCGCTCCAATCTGGCATATCTAGCAAACTCATCCATCATGCTAATTGAGGACTGCTCCTTCTTCATCTCCTGGATTTCAGCCCTCATCTCACTCTCCTGCTCAGCATCTTTCTGCACCATCTTTGAGAGCTTGAAATAAAGAAAAAGGCAAAGTTATTACTGAAAAACAGAAAGAATCTAAAATGTAAATTAAACTATTGTCTAACGTTATGGACGCACAGGCTCAATTTCAGTTTTTAGTGTTCACAGTTACACATGGTTAACGCCACAGTCGACTATTTACATTTGAACAATGGTGCAACACTAAAATGTTTCCCCCTTATTATGTGTAGAAAATATACCGGGACCCCACCCCCCTGACTAGCAGAACAATTTACATTGCTGCTAGCTAGCTATCCGACTAGCATTATCCATTAGCTTTAATTTACAGTAATACAGTACCGTCTGTGAGATCAGGCAACAGGAATTGCCCTAACATAAAGTTATAGCGTGTATCTTCAAGGCAAACACCCCCTACTTACGAAAGAGGATATGGTCGGCAGGAGTGTTTTCATGAGATTGCACAGAAAAACCGACCCCAGCACAAGGAACCACGCATACCCGGCCGCCATGTTTGTTCCTCCTTGTTGCAGCTGTGGCGCTGCAGCGCTCCACAGCGCACTTACACAATAATGAGGCCATTCAGGTTGTGCTGCTAACAGCTAAATGTACACGAAGGCTATTTATTTGTGTGTTTACAACACCAATTAACTTATTTAGTTTAATATGTTTATCATAAGAATTATAGTCAAATATGCTTTAGTGAAGTGTGTCGTTTCCAGACGGTAATATAGGTAGACTATGCATGCACGTCAACAATCGTAAAGACATAGAGATCACACAGTGCGGAAATGCAACATTTGAAGACTTGGCATGCTTGTTTATATATTATGTTTATTCATCTATATTCTTATTTAACGCATTAAAACAGATGGTTGCCATGTATTTTCCACATCTTGCACACACCCTGGGAACAGCCCGTGATTAAAAAGCGAGAGACGGCCGGGTGCAGTGATTGGCATGCAATCCTGCCCACACAGGTAAAATGTTATGGTTCAAAAATGTGCTGCCTCGACCTCAAAGCCAATCACTGGAAGCAAGGGGCGGGGGGTAACTCCTTCTGGTAGGTTGGTAGGATAAGGGATAAAATATACCGAGAGGGGGATCCAATCCGGTTTGAGCTAGTTCTAGTACTGGTCGGGCGTTTATGTTAACTTACAGACTGTTCAGGAGGTGTAGGACTGACTCATTTAGTTTCCTAAACTGTAAACGCTCGTGCTATTCTTTTATCTCTGCTGCACAACATAAGCAACAATGGGAAGGAAAAAAGTAAGTTAAAATGTGTATATTATGTGAAATGTGATACATACAGTAGATTTATTGTCATTAGTTAAAAATGCATAGGCTGTATTTCTGTTTCGCTACAATGTGCCTGTTCGCACTGCACGACCTGTAATGTAACGTTAGAAATACTCGCTGCAGCGTGTCCATGTACATGCATTTAGTCCACCTTGGCTGTGCTCAGGTCCGTCGTGTCCACCCTGTTAATACAGGGAAGTGGCGCCTTTTTACTTGGCAGAGCCAAACATGCTTCCACATCGAACAAGTTTGCCAGCGGTATTGTGTCGTCTAAAGCGAACACTCTTGTGTTGGAGCTGCTAAATGTACGTCTGGCTGTGGTTTAGTCATGATTTGTCTAAACTTGCGCGCTGAGATCAAACAAAGAGGTGGAACCACCGTCGACGAACAGGTTGCCATTTCAAGGAAATTCCTTCCGTAATTGCCTTTTGATAACTGAATTTACTGTGTGTCTTACACGTTATTAAAAGGGCAGCAGTTTTCACGTTCTTTATGTCGAGTTGTTATGTGCGGATTTGCAGCTCACATTGATATTTTGACCTCTTTCTGTACGCAATGTAAAACTGGAGAGCGTCATCCTTGAGGTGTTCGGTCTTTTCTTTAAGCGCGTCATGGCAGCTCATATATCCTCGAAAAGACAGCGACACGTCTGGTCGTTTTAACTGAAGCCAGTATAATCATGTCAGAAGTTTTGTGGAACAAGGCTGATCTTCAGTCACGTTGGAAACAAAAAAGCCGATTGATTGTGTCGATGTATGGATGCGCATGTGGAGGTGGGGCGACCCTACTTCCTTCTTAAAGTAGCTAGAGCACCATGCTTACTTAACACATCTGTCTCTAAATGATACACCACAGTGCTTGGCGGGAATAAACTAGAACAGGCAGGGGCTTTTTTAGTCACTGTAGAAACGTGTCGGTCTCCCCTCCCCACTTTTAGATTGCATAATTTCTTTGTGACTTAAGGGGAGGGAGAGGTGCCCATCCCCCCTTTGCATTACACACCCACTTTAGCGTACCCATGAATGGTTTTTGTTCCTGGCTTTTTAATTTTCACTCTCTCTCTCTCTTTCTCAGTCTACCGTTGACGCAGATGCAAGTGCAGAGGTTAGTATTCAAGTATTCACACACAAACTGACTCAAACGGATGTTTACACCTCAAATGGCACCCAAATGAACATTATGTTCTACTTTCAGTCCAAGACAAAGAAGGTCTTGGTTGATGCATGATGGCTTTAGGTAGCACAGTCCAGTTTTTATCTTGTAAGGTGGAACCTGTGGTAGTAAGGATGGCCACGTTAATCAGTTGGTCTAAATGTTCAAGTTATGATCCAAACTTGGTCAGTCTGTTGGGTTTTAGGAGCTCCTCAACCAGTAGGGGGCGCTGGCTAGATATGAAGCCCAAATTGGTCTTTTATTTACACAATATTTTTCAACACATACTACAAGACAATGTTTCACCTTCGCTCCCAAGATGACAGTAAAGTACATCAGTGCAGCATTACATTTGTTCGTCTACAACAACTAAATCTCAAATGTACTTATTTAAAGATCCACTCTCGTCTGAGTGACTTTAATTCAGTTCATGCAGGTGAAGGAGACATAGGGATTGTTTAATAGACGTTCTTAACCGGTGAATAAATGGTTGTATGTGGAAACGCACTCGTTACTTTCCCTCTTGTGCTCATAGCACCCTCCACACATTGAGTAACCTTTTGTTCCCTACTTACATGTTGACGTTTTAATACTTGCAAATGCCTACATTAACATCTTGTGTTTTTCTTCAGCCAAGGAGGAAGTCTCAAAGGTTGTCAGACGTAAGTTCTACAAAGCCAAGACCACAACATTTTAATAAAATCAGTGCATATTTTGTTACTATGCGTATTATGTTGGCATCATTTTTTTCCCTCCTATTGTCTTACAGAGAGAGACAGAGCCAAAACCACAGCCAGAAAAGACGAAGGTAAAAGGAAAAATCATGCACAAAAGCACTGTTCACTTAAAATGCACTGTTTTGATCTCATTATGTGCAGTAGATGGTGCCTTTCATGCTGTATGGTTTGTATTTGACATGGTAGGCACCTCCCAAGAACAAAAAGGTGAAAGAAGCAGCAAAGGCCAAGCCAGAGGAGAAGAAAGAAGAACCTCAAGCAGAGAAAGAAGAGGCTCCTGCAGAAAATGGAGAGGACAAAGCTGAGGAGGTATTACAATTTTGCCTCTCCATGTGAAACTTGCACTATAGCAATGTTAAGAGAATCAAAATGTTAAAGCATGTTTTTCTCCATCCTTCAGCCAGCTGCAGCAGCAGATGAGGCAGACGGAAAGCAGGAAGAGGCTGACGAGGAGGAAAAGGCAGCGGAGTAGTAGTGCCACCCCGAAACTAACTTGCCAATGCTCCCCATACCTCCTTTCTTGTACAATGCAGAGATTATTTTTATCTACTATTTTTCATAAGACGGCAATGTTTTTAGGGATGCTGAAATGCATTTTAAAAAATACTAATTCCATTCAATTTCATGGCTTCTGTGAAGGGAAAGTTTCAGTCATGTTGGGGTTTTTTTGTTTTTCATTGTGCTCGTTTCTCTCTGGCTTCTTATATTGCTTGTAGGCTGTAGTTTTCTATATGACATGCATTCATGTTCATATCAGGAATTTGATGTTGAACCGGGAGAGTTTACCTGAGACATTCTTGATGCATTTTGTAACCTGTACTATTTGGGAATGGAATCCATCATAATGCTATGTGTTTGATAGCGAATAGGATGATTGATCGTTTGAGATTTGTGTTCTATGCGAAGTCTGGCTCGCAGCGTTCACTTTAATCATGTTCATGTACTAGAATGGGTTGGACAATTTTTATTTTTTTATGCAGTCAGTGATGGTAGTCAACGATTTAAATACAGTTAAATTGTTATATTAATATTCTCAGATGTGCTTAACAAAATGCAATATTTCTCATGGTATTTTCACTCGGTCAACAAAATGGATATGTTGAAAATTTGTGGATGTAGCCATAGTGGTTTGGGGATTTCTCTACAAATGTACAGTTTCCTCCTTTTTTTTGTATTAAAAAAAAAAATTAAAAAAAAGTTTCCTTTTGTAATGAATGGTATAAAATGCCAATTAAAGTGGGAATTACTTAAATGTTAAATTGTTTCTCATCAATGATGTATTACCTCCACCATACAGTGTTGAAAGCACTAGTTCAGATGGACCTTTTGTTACCTAAAATTAATTATTGTAGGTATTTTAAACCACTTCCCAAATCCTTGGCAATAACCTAAAAAGAAGGCTGGATATGTTAAATGCCCATTTGAGGTATATTCATATAAATACAGTTTTACTGGTAGGTAATGGTAAAATGTGTGCTTTAGCATAGTTCAAAATGTTTTTTTAACTCCACGAATGTGCATGTCCAAAATAAGATGTTAAATGTATACTATAATGCAAACAAATGCAAAGTACAGTATGTTAACATTTTTAAGGTGAAGCATACCCAGGAAATGGGATGTTTGTCTTATAAAACCATGCAAAGCATCAATAACGTGGCTGGATTAATATGCCTGGGGGCCCATACGGCTTTGAAATAGAGTTCATTTCGGAATACGCATCATGTAAGCATATCTGATGAAATAATGAAGATCTTGAAACTAGAATTGGACTGTCTTAAAATCAGCTACTAAAGCAGGTTCTGCCTTGCAGTTCTTAGGTCACTTGATATTGCGCTAAAGAGCATCTTCCCATATTTCCAAAGTTACAATTAATTACCACAAACACTTGCCACACAGTGAAGCTGGGCAGTTGCCTGCTTTACCAGTTTGCTAATCCAGATTACAATCTTGTATGTTGACTACCATTCTGGTTCATCTCAGGGGCTATGCCCTGTGAAAATCTAGAATAAATTTTTAGTAATAAATGGAGACCAGAAGAAAATATCAGTTTAAAATAGGCAACAAAGTCAGATCCTTTCAGTGCAACACACTACGCACAAATATATTTAACAGTGGTATTATTGGCTATCAACAATATCATCAGAGCTTTCCAACCTTGTGACCCATCGTTACAGATCATGGCCCTTAGTTGGACATGAGCTTTTGATGACGTGAGAGCTTTTCGTGGCAGCTGTGCCTCAGAAGGTAGAGCGGGTCATCCACTAATCAGAAGGTCAGTGGTAAAATACTGAACCCCAAATTGCTCCCAATAGCTGTGGCATCGGTCTGTGACATGTTAATCTCACATCTCCATGCTGGTAAAGAAAACTCAGAAATGGCTTAAGAAATTAAGGAAGTTTAAGAAGGCAAAATTCCCATGCCACATTCCTATTAATTAGGAGCAATAGAAAGCATCCTGACTGGAACATCACCGACTGGCACAGGATGTGCATGGCCCAGGACAGGAGGGCTCTGCAGCAGGTGATAAAAAAACGCTCAAAAGATCATTTTACCCAGCTACTGAGCAAGAATGATATCGGTGAGGTGAGGTGCAGAGCACAGCCCAAAGGATACCAGCCACAACCTGTTCACCCTGCTGCTGTCTGGCAAGAGATGCAGAAGTATTTACTTACCACCAGACTTCAGAGCAGCTTCTTTCCCAGGCCGTGACAATGCAAAATATATAATATATATAATTTTTGTCTAACATTTGCTTTTGATAGTAGAAAAAAAGGAGACTGCAAATGTCATACAACCCTACTGTAAAATTATAAATAAATTTATCTTGTACCTTGTGTGTGAATGTATAAGTTTTCAGTTTCTGATGAGCAGTTGGCACTTTGCATGGTAGCCACTGTCATCATGGTGTAAATGTTGTGTGTGTAAATGTGGTGTAGTGTAAAGCACTTTGAGTGGTCAGAAGACGAGAAAGGTGCAAAACAAGTACAGTCCATTTACCATTTTTCTGGAGCTTTCAACTGTAGCCTTTTTCAGCGACTGAAGTGAACTTTAAGTTTAGAATCACAGATATATGTTTCTAAGGGCAAGAATGAACCTCAATGCTCAAAAATAATTTTGTGTAACAGAATTTCTTTTAATCATCTTGTGGCCCTGCCCCTTGGGTTGTCCTGACCTCATGGCCAAATTAACATGTTAATTTAACCATCAAAATTAAGTGCACACAGCAGACTAGATGGCAGCTTTTTTCACAGAGACCCTGAAACCAGAACTCTTATAATGGAATACTACCTAGCTCTAGGTTTTCTGCATGTCAGTTTGGGGTTATTGGATGAAACATTTATTTAACTATTTTGCATAAGACTGCAACTAATGATTATTGTCATTAATCAACAAATAGATTAATTGACAAATTGTTTCAGCTGTACTTGTATATACTCGTGGGTAGTTTAAGTAATGCGAAACATCATATTTTGTAAGCCCATATGTTTTGTATGCCAAACTTTTAATTTGTAAAGTAACTTAAAGTTGTCAGATAAATGTAGTGGAGTAAAAAGTGATTTACCTCTGAATGGTAGTGGAGTAGAAGTAGAAAGTGGCATGAAAAGAAAAGACTCAAGCAAAGTACAAGTACCTGAAATTTGAGGTCTACAATACATGAATAAATGTACCTGGTTACCTTCCACCACTGCAGCTTGGGACCCTCTGCCCCAACCTCTAGGATAAGTAATGTATGAATACTCAAATAAAACACACAAAAAACTATATGATTTTCCTGGGCACAATAAAACTCCTCTTACAAAGAAAGAAAGTCAGTGACGATATTACAGTGCCTTTCTCCCGACCCCTAGAGGACTGGGTTGCAAATTTTACAAAAGTGATGAAGCGAAATTTATCAATCAAGTGATCGGTGAAGCAAATTGGCAACCATTACGTATGACGTCATGTGCAGAACTCGCGACCTTGGTCAGTATAAAGGGGGCGACCGTTCGCTCATGGTGTTTTTTGTACTATTTTAAAATTGTGTATTTATTTACATGTGGGGTTTGAATCGAATCAATAACCTGGCGTCACATTCAAATAATGCTAATGTTGCTATCCCACGGGCTAACGTTCACTTTTGTCTTTTGTTGAAAGTGCTCCTCCCCACCCCCTTTTTCCTGTGTTACTCCGCTGTGGCGGAAGTAAGTCGTATCTCAGGCCTCATCCTTCCAATGGCGACTGCAAACAGGCTGAATAGAAAGCGGGAGCAACCGTGGAGGGGGTCAGAGCTGTGTAACCGAAATTAAATAAATATATCCTATTCTCTGTAGTCATAAAGTTAGCCTAAAATTTGTTTCACCTCTCCAAATCACGGCCGATTCAATGGCCAAAAATCGGAACATTTCGCTCCTTGAGTCGGGTAAGCCGCAGAAGTAAACCCACTTGATAGCCTCATTTACAACGATATCGGTCTTGCTAATTGATATCCCAAACTGCTGTTTTTCCTCTCTCACGGTTTTAATGTCCTCGCTGTTCAATTTCAGAGCTGTATTACTTGATTTCTCGTTTTCTAACAACGGGTCCATGTCGGAGAGCGGCTGAGGTGAGCTGGCGTGCCTTGAATGGCACAGTGTTTTGTATTTCAAAATAGTTGACTAACAGTTAGCTAGTTGATACTAGAGTTAATAGAGGCAATCTAATCTGAATCGCCTCTTTTAATCCACGGCAGGTCCTAGCGAGCGAACTAGAGGAATATCAGGTGTGTATATCCCTGCTGCTTGTTAACTGCTAACTGCTATCCGTCGGTGTTGTCCGAGTCTGGGCATAAAACTTGTCTCACTCTTTTTAATATCCTTTTACGTCTCACTCGTTTGACATCACCGTTTTTTTTTACTAGCTTAATGTGTACCTGCTGGTGTTTTGTGTGGTGACTCCGCTTTACCAAACTCTTGTTTTCGATAGCTCTTACCCGGGAGGTTGGACTGGCTGGGAAACGAGCACCCGAGGACATATGAAGATGTGGTGAGATTTAACTTCACATATGTTAAGTTCATTGTCGCCGGTTGTTATTGTCTTGTGACAGGGGCACTCTCGTGTGCACGCTCTGTTCTTGTTTACGGGCTTTGTTCTTTTTCCTGCTTCACTACTGTTGGGTTTACTTGAGTTATGATGGTCGACAAGTTCACAGCTCGCTTACACCGACTTCATTTTTGAGTGAACTTGTGCTTTAGTCGATCAAAAGACCGTGTTTGGATAGAGGGTTTAATATTATTTTGCCCCGACTGTTGTACTGCAGATAGGGTGGGTAGTTCGGCTTCTTGCGACGTCGAAACGGCTTCGCCGGCCAATCACAGGCCGAGTTGCGCTGTCTCTGCGTTATGTTGCATGTGACCTGCGCTGTGATTGGTCCATAAAAACAAAAAAATATACATAAGAAGCCACGCCTCTCGGAAGAGGAGTTGAGAAGCACATGAAACCACCAACTATCGCGTCAGACATTTATTCTGACAACTGTTTAGGCAGGCTTAAAAACGTAACTTAAAGTGTAGTATATCAGCCATATTGGACATAATCTTTATTCTTTTTTTTTTTTATATCGTATTGCCAAGTTTATACTTTGTTTGTAATTGTTGATCTGTAGTACTTGCTTTATCTTTTATTTTCTAGATACTGTGTTTATTGTTATGCAACATAATACCATCATAATATCTTTTTTGACCAACAGTCTAACACCCAAACATATTCAATTTACAACTATATGAAACAAAAAAGGGCAGTAAGTCTTTACATTTAAAACAGTTAATGAGCGTTTTAGTCTCATAATCGATTTATCAAAATTGTTCTTGATTCAATTGAACGTTTGAGCAGTGATCTGTATACACTGTCATGTCAATACTCTGTCATTGCCTTGACAGGTCGCAGCCAACAGACATATTGCACCAAACCATTTGCTACAGATATGTAAGCAGATTGGACCAATTCTTGACAAAGAGGTGCCGTCATGTGTCCCAGGTGTACACTCCCTCCTGGGGTCGGGGAAGCAGTCAATGCTTAGGACCGCAAAAGGTATACAAGTATTTTTGGGGGCAGAAATGTATGAGCTTTTTTCCTTCATACTGTCTTGTGTAGTAATTTTGCATGCCTCTTACGCTGATATTATATATAATATAAAGGTTTTAATCGTTTTATTGGTTTCTGCTGTCACCATAATTGATACTATCCTTTTCCCACATACAGCTGGTAATCCGCCGACTCATTCTGTGAGCTTTTTGTTTT